CAAAATTCACAAAACAACTGCTGGTATGGCAGGTGATCTCCCTTTGTGAATTAAGCAATTTGACACAAGAAATCGAGGTTTCTTATGTTTCATTTGTGACTGTCCATTCCTTCCAGGATAAGGATATGGGGTGTTAATGAACATTACTGATCAATTTACAGTTTTTAAAACTGCATTTAAGTTCTGAAAGCAAGACCACTTTAAACTCAATATTTAAAAAAATAATTTACCCTGTACCGAGGGATCCCTTAACATGAAGCATGGTGACGCTATTTAAGTTATTCTGTTCTCAACACAGGGAGCTTGAGTTGCTCAAAACATACAGCTGGTAAATGACAGAGCCAGCATGCTGATACTTACTGTTTTTTACTCCAGAGTGTAGTGTTCCACCTACTACCCCACACTGTTGACTTTACTCTAGCTTTTTTAAAGATTTTGTTCTTATTCAGAGATATAAATGGAGATTTTATTTTATTTATTTTTGGCTGTGTTGGGTCTTCGTTGCTGCGCACGGGTTTTCTCTAGTTGCGGCGAGTGGGGGCTACTCTTCATTGCGGTGCGCGGGCTTCTCGTTGCGGTGGCTTCTCTTGTTGTGGAGCATGGGCTGTAAGCACGCCGGCTTCAATAGTTGCAGCACGCGGGCTCAGTAGTTGTGGCTTGTGGGCCCTAGAGCTCACAGGCTTCAGTAGTTGTGGCGCACAGGCTTAGTTGCTTCCCGGCATGTGGAATCTTCCCAGACCAGGGATTGAACCCATGGCTCCTGCATTGGCAGGCAGATTCTTTAACCACTGTGCCACCGGGGAAGTCCGGAGATTTTAATTTTAGATAGAAAACCTAGTAATTTATTGCAAATATTGCCAAGTTGTTATTTTACACTGTTTGACAGCAGAAGCTTTGAGGGCACACGTGGGTTCTAGTCCCAGTTGCCCACTTGTGAAGTTCCCAAAAGTGAAGTTGCTTTACTCCATTTCCTTATTTACAAAACAAGGCTAATGCTGTGAAGATTAAATGAGGTACCAATTCCTATAAAGCCTGTAACCCAGGGCAAGGCATTGAACAATCAGTTACTAAATGGTGACCCCCTTTTTTAGCTAAAATTGTGAAATAGCTCTCTATGCAATTCTGATTTAAAGCCTTCTGAAACTTACATTCTCATGGGAGAGACAAACAAGGTGAATAACTAAAATATATGCATACTGGTGATATGTACTGAAGAGAAAAAAGAAAGCTGAGAAGGGGGGTATAAAGTATTGGGGAGGAGTTGAAATTTTAGGTAAGTGGACAGGTAAGACCTCAACAAGAAGGGGACTCTTGACTAAGCACCTGAAGAATAAGAAGGTGCTGTCTGTGAGGATGTCTAAGGGAAGAGCAAGTGCGAAGGCCCTGAGGCAAGAGAGTGCTTGGTTTGTACAAGGAACTGGATGGAGGATGGTGAGGCTGGAGTAGAATAAATAAGGGATAGTATAGTAGAAGATGAGGTCAGAGGTAGCAGTGGGCCAGTTCATAGGTCATGTTGGGTCTTGTAGGTTATAGTAAGGATACACAGGAGCAGCCATGATCTGACATATTTTATTTATTTATTTTTAACATCTTTATTGGAGTATAATTGCTTTACAATGGTGTGTTAGTTTCTGCTTTATAACAAAGTGAATCAGTTATGCATATACATATGTTCCCATATCTCTTCCCTCTTGCGTCTCCCTCCCTCCCACCCTCCCTATCCCACCCCTCTAGGTGGTCACAGAGCACCGAGCTGATCTCCCTGTGCTATGCGGCTGCTTCCCACTAGCTGTCTGCCTTACGTTTGGTAGTGTATATATGGATCTGACATATTTTAAAAGGACCCCTCTGGCTTCTGTGTTGAGCAGTAGACTATTAAAGGGGCGGTGGGGAGAAGGGGAAGGTGGCCAACAAGGTCAGAGCATGGAGACCAGTTAAGAGGCTAAGGTAATAGTCCAGAGCATTACAGTATCCATCTTAATGGAGTAACTGTGATGTGTTCTGCCATCGAGATGGTTGAGGTTTCTCCTGTTCCCCTGCTGCATTTATAAATGCTGAGAAGGATGGAAGTCAGATCATTCTGGAAGTTGTACCATCCTGGTTTTTTATTTCTCTTTAGTAGATTGTGGCACTGTATAACAGTCCCATTTGCATATAACTTTATCTGTGACCTGCATGTCTGTGAAGTTTTCTTGCAAAGGAAGGGAGCACTTTATAAAATAGATGATCTTAGGGCTTCCCTG